GAAAAAGGTAAACGAAGATAAGGCGTTCAAAGTGTGATTGTTCAACCGTTGTCCGACACACTCGACTTGAGGAGGACTTTTTTTTGCGCATTTTATTTTGGGGCTAAGGAGCACTCCCTACCCTCCCTACGTGCGCGCGCGTCCTTCCCTTTGCTTTTGCCATCCTCCACTTTTCTTTTTTTTCCGTTGCTCTTTTTTTTACAACTGCTTTTTTGTTGAGTATCCTTGTGATCCCCGTGCGCGTATGCTGGCTAGCAGTGTTGCGGAGTTGCCACTCCGGAGTTGGAATGATTCCGGAATCATTCCGCATTTTCGCCACCCCGGAATGGAATGGGAATGGAATGGCGGCAACGTTGAGGGGAATGGAATGGGAATGCAATTAGGCGCCTTTTGCCCGGAATGGAATGAAAATGAAATGGGGCCAAGCTCTTTTTTTTTTGTGTTTACAGTTAGCTAAACCAAGCCAGTCACCGAGTCAGTTGCTCAAAAATAAAATGAGCGGGAAACTTCTAGCCGGCCTAAAGCCCTAACAGACGTATGCGCAAGAAACTGCGATACAAAAAAAAACAAGCGTCAAAGCAAAGAGCAGAAGGGGGAAAGTGGGGGGGGGGGGGGGGGGTGGCGGCGTTTACGGACGCGCAGGCTACGGGCTTCACCGGCGTTACACGAGAGCAAAACAAGAAACCAAGCACCAAGCAAAAGAAACGAAGGGAGCGGCAAAGAAAGAAACCGCCATGCACGGCTCCTCATTAGCTCTGATAACTCGTTGACTCGCGCGCCGCCGAAAGATGATCAGTTATTGTTTTCTTATAGTTCGAAAAGCGTTGTTTAGCAGGCGGCCAACCCCGCTGCCTTCCAGGATCATTCCCGCGCACTCCTTTGAAGTACGAAATGTGGGTTTGCTTCGGCATTAAAACAAAACCAGATTCACTTCTCTCTTCTCCAGTTGCGCTTTGCTCCGACGCTTGTTTTCTTTGTACTGCATTTTTATGTGTAAGTCCGCGTTTTACTTGGTCTTTGTTCCGATGCTTGTTTTCTGTGTTCTATGTTTTACATTGAAGTGGGTTAGGGTTACAAGCAAGCTAGCGCATTCCCGCTCATTTCCTTTCACTTGAGTCTCTGCATACATTGTTTCACGTTGCGATGGACCGCTGTGGACGTTACGAGTGACCCCAGGCAGTCCAGCACTGTGAGCGGGACTACACGCACGGCGCGTTGCTGCGCCCCAGGGTCACGTGACACTCAGAAGGCACTGGATTGGTTTGGATAGCTCTCGTGCTGTCTGTTGCAGTTCATGGCAAGGTGAAGTAGACTATGGTAACCGCTCTTGTTGCGTGGCCGAACTGACTGGACTTGCAGAAAAACAGTTTCGTGACCTGGTCTATACGGTCCCTCGTACTGCGCCGTAGAGGTTTCACTTTGTCAGAGGATGTGTTCTTGCCGCTGTGCATGGAATCGCTTCCAGCAGCGTTTTTGCTGCTGGAAGTGCAAAAACGCTGGAAGCCAGTTGCTGCTTTTGAAGAATACAGCAATAAGCTTATTTCTGCGCCACGCACGAACTGGGTATTTTTATGGTCTTATCAGACAAACACGCTGGTCGCGTATGTCCTAAAAGTCAAATGCAAAAAAAAAAGTTTAAAAAAGTGAATTTGAGTGTTGCTGTTTGTTGCGAGCCACGTGGTCGCAAGACTAATGTCTTAAACAAGCATCGACATATCAAGGGGCTTTCTCGGTGTTTGCAGTACAATGTAAACAAACACTTTGTTCCACCAGCGCTCCGCTTAGCAAATTCAGTGTTTTTTAGGGCCTTTAGCATTTTTTTGCAATTGTCTCAGCGTTGATAATGGCAGCTTTACCCTGCTTATGCCGACAACACAATATAGCTGTCAAGTGCCAATTTTTACCTTTAGGAATTAGCGGAATGGAATGGAACAATTCAGCCATTCCGGGAGTGGGAATGGGCCCACTGTTCCCATTCTTAGGAGTTGAAAGGAATTGAATTATCGAAACTTTAATTCCCCGGAATGGAATTGGACTGGAATGGGGGTGCCCATTCCGCAACACTGCTGGCTAGGCGGTCTGCCAGCCCGGCAACGCGAGCTTGTGCTCTGCGCGCGCAATCTGACCTGGGGAGAAGCGAAGGGCCGCCATGCTTAGTTCGCTATATCGAGTGTCCCCGCCATGGAAGCCCATGGGAGTTCGATACAAAAAGACAACGCTCGATCCTATACACCTTTTCTACGTGAGCGCCGCCATCTTCAATTCTGGAACTTCCGGTATGCGTGAAAACATCGCTTTCCTCTCGTCTCGCCAGTAGAATATGTTAACATTTTAATTGCAACCGTCATTCCTTCTTGTTATGTCCTTTCTATATAGTTTTTCTTTTCCCGGGTTAAAATCTTTTGCTTTTAGAGCACAGCTCTTAGGCACCCGTTTCCGGCTTGAGCGGCATCGCCGTCGGTGTAACCGCGAGGTCACGGGACCCCCCAAGGTTACCCCAAGGTCACGTGACTTCCAAGGTCACAGACCCCACAAGGTCATGTGACTCCCAGAGGTCACGTGACTCCCCAAGTCACGTGACCCCCTCCCCGAGGTCAAGTAACCCCCTTTCCCCCCTCAAGTCACGTGAGACCCCCCTCCCCTGAGGTCACGTGACCCCCTCCCCCGAGGTCAGGTGACCCCCCGAAGCATATTCAAGAATGAGGGGAGGAGGAGGAGAAGAAGGAGGAGGAGGAGGGGTCTACCTTCCCCTCAGTACCCTTCCCTCCTCCTCCTCAAGAGCTGCGCTCCAATTCGGCGTTACAGGGAGTTGTAAACGGCTTTCACTTTTTTTTTCGCAACGCATACCGGATATGGGAACAACGTGGCTGGGTACGAGGCTAAGCAAAAAAGGTGTATACTATTACATGTGATTTTCAAGGGGATGTTTGGACTGTTCGATATAGGCAATAATTCGAAATACCCGGGTGCGATATAACTGGGCTCGACTGTATACTAAAAAGATTTTCACAAGTTTTTTTTTTTTTTTTTTAACTTGGAGTTTACGTGTAAAATGAACAAAGAAAAGCTTAAACTTGAGCAGCTGTTTCGAAGTGTCAATGCTTTAAAAGAAGTTTTGAATGTACAAAATCTTCCTCATACTCACAGATATCACATCTAAGTAAGAGAACTCTAACTAAAATTATTTTGTTTAGGTCTGTCTGCAAGTTAACCTCGGTGGCACCTGTGCTTTTCAAAAAATTCATTCATTGGAGAAACACAGGTACTACAACCCATATCTCCTGCAGTATGCAGTTATTTCGTGCTTGACATTGGTTTAGTCACAATACTGCTTGCAGTTTTACCTGTTAGCATTTTTTCTCCTGTTTCTCGATAATATAAAGCATCTGTGCCGGCACACTACAGTATAAAAAACTTCAGCGATGCTCTCCGGTGTGAATCTTCTTATGTGAGGGACTGATGCCATTTATAGAGCCCCCGAAAGCCGCTGAGATGCAAATATCCACCACGAGACAGAATTACGCAAATAATGCTGTCATTGTTACGAAGTCCGGAGCGAGCAGGACGCTTTGTTAACAAGTGCCGTCGCCTTGCCAAACAGCTATTTTTGACAGCTCACCACAACGTGAGAACATGTAAAACTACTTTGAAATATAAACTATTGACCCTCAAAAATCCAGGAATTGGTGCCATGCCTTCCATCACACCAAATTTTATTTCTGGCAGTGCAGGGCCTGTGGCATTGAAAGGAAAGAGTTAAAAAGGCTGCATCCACACACCTGTTGAAGTCCGTGCAATAGGTTATCATTTTTATGTTTGTGGCTTTGATAAGATTTCACTTTCAGAGCATTCAAGGATGCTCTCGTGTTCCCTACAAGGAGCACTTAAATTATAAACATTAACTGTAAGAGAGCAGGAATAACAAGTCACTTTCCTCAATGTGTGCAGCTCAATATTGAAAACAGGAGTGGAATCCAACAGTTATATAATACCAGGAAATTCAATGTGAAATTCATATATGCTAATGTAATTCTTTTATGAATTGCATGCAGGCCTATGAAGGGATGAAGCCCCTCCCTGATGCCCCCCGAGGCAACGAAGGTGCTGAAACACCTCGAGAACGCCTTTATCACACGAGTAGAGATGTGTATTAGACTAATACACAACTATTTGTCTAATAGAAATATTTATTAGGTTAATGTATGCCTTCTATTAGAATAACAGTTTCATAGACTAATACAAGCATTGAGCATCTTGTAGAATAATAATTAGACAAATTTACACATTTTTTTAACCAAATAGAACGCTCATTAGACTACTTGTAACACAGCCATTCTATTACAATTTTAAATGGGCATATTAGAACAATTGAAACTCGACACCACCGAATAAATATGAACAAATAACTGAGATTTATTAGATGTGGGAACCCTTAATTGTCTATAGGTGAGCTCGGCCCCACCGACACTTTCAACTAGCTGGCTAACAGAAGTTTCTGCATTGTAAATTCTTTATCAGACATAAGAGTGAATGTTCACAACAAATTGTCTTCATTGGATGTACAACTCAAAAAGACAAAGATGGACCATTCATTCATTCATCCATTTCATTTTTGTGCTCATGAACAGCTTTCTCCTTTGTAATGAAGTACAATATACATATAGCAAAATGGAGTACGAAAATTCTAGTGACAATTAAGGAAACACTTGAGTGCTATACAAGATGGGTTAAAAACGTCACTACATGGATCATCTATTGTACTATAAAAATTTTGAATGTGTGTCAAGGGGCGAGTTTGGAAGATATGATTAATTTCGGGAACCACGAGTTCCAGAAATAACAGGCAACTTCGAAATCGGAACTTAGTTGTGCCCAATAACAGCAGAGCAAGGAGAAAAATTTACAAGGAAAAAGATGTGTAGGCTCTGTGGCTGTCAGCACCGTGAATGTTAGATTCGCCGACGCCGGCACATTCTTGCAATATCAAAAGTGCCGCTGCGCTTGCCTGCGGCACGGCAGCGCTTGCTCTTTTCTTGCGTCGTAGCTCTGCTGTTCCTCGGTATTCGGCCCCAGGCTTCAGGTACTTTTCTCGTTTGCATACGCGGGCATTTTGGGGTGAACGAGAAAGACCTGAAACACCCCAGGAGCAAAGCGCCACGGAACTATGGTGCCTGGAACGCGTCTCCGACTGGTGTGTTTACCGCGGCCAAAAAAGTGGTCCCTCGATTTCCACCTGATGACGTCATAAAAGTGTCATGCTGTCGCCGGTCGCGACCCTGGCGGCGTCCAAAAACTTGTGGTACAAACAGCAGACGCCTGTTCTGATGCAGGTCGCTCTCCACTGTGACAGTTCACGGAAGCTAGAGCAGCCGGAAGTTGGGACGCCTGGGACGCGTGACGACAGCGACACTCGCATTCGTTCGTGCCTTTCGCCAGCATTTCTACGGCCAACCGCCAGGATCGCGACAGGCAACAGCATGACACTCCGGCTTCTGTGACGTCATTTGTGGCTATATTGGGATCACTTTTGATGTATGGGCGGGATAGGACGCTAAACACACCAGTTGGAGACGCGCTCCGGGCACCATACCAATTCGCGACTCCAGCAAAACGGACGCCGCCAAGCGGAAAACCGGGAACCCGCCGGTCTAGGTCGCTCCGCGCCCCTCAGCGTCTCTGGTGGCTTTCGCGGACACGTGTTGCCGGCGTGGTGGCGAACAATGTAATTTGACGAAGGTCCGAAAATTTTTTAAGTTTGCCTGAGTGTTCATTAGTGTGGTGAAGCCTCGGTAGATTGTTTCCTTCCATCATGTGTTTGAAAGCCCGTTTACTCCACTACACATGGTCGAGTGCTTTCGATTTCTTGGATGGGCAGGAATCAGGGAAAAACGTTTTGATTTCTTGTCTGTCTGGAATCAGTCAAAGTGACGACTACTTGGTAACTGATAAGTGGTTTCTCTATAAGTATGTAGAACAGTGGACTTAGGACGACAGACGAGGTGTTTCACTGGGGGGAACACCAATGTTGCAGTCAAGTGAATGGGAAGGTTCGATAGCTGCTTTTCTTGAGTTTGGTTGTGCTCGATTAGCTTCAAGTTTGAGCCACCCACGCCGGCCGGTGCGTTGGCTATTCATTTTGGCTGCTTTTCGCCGAAAAAGCCTCTGGACCACACTGAAGGAGTTGGGCTAATTTCGCAATTACTTGATTCAGGAAAACCTGCTCGCTGTATGATTAATGAAGGAAATTATCTGCTTTCAAAAGGTGGGGGACGCGTCTCGCAAGGTTAGAAGCTGCCACGGCATTAGGATCTATCGCGCCTCCAATATTTATATTATACCCCCGTCGAAGCCAGCAGCAATATACGTCTACATTGCTCAGGTTGACCGGCCACAAAAAATACTAATTTTCTCCGCTCAGGATTCGAAGCAAAGTTCAACGCAGAGAGGTTCTGAGTGAATTTCCGATGAAGACTCTCCTCAGTTGGTCCGCATTCGTCTCCGTGCTACCGACTAGAACCATTTGGCTAACTTTAAGCATAGTATCTCTCTGTCTGTCAAATATACTTTTATTCAGCAGGTCACCTGATAGCTAGTCAACTAGGTTCATGTTTCAGCCCTTAGAATATTCTAATATCGCTTTGCTGGGCCATAGTACGTAATATAATACATAACCCGCTCGGTCAAAATGACTTCTCGATTGCTACTAAAACCTGAATTGAAATACGAGTATCAGCTGCTTAGTGAAGCGCCAGCGGGTTAACATGCTCCTTGGCTCAAGAAGCGCTTGCTTAATTTCCGTAATTTTCCTGCAGCCTGTGTTCTTGACCGAGCGGAGGAATGGAGCTGTTTCTTAAACGCGGATACGCACAAGAGCTCGATTTTTCGGACAGATAAGTCGCATGGTCGAGGCATGCGAGTTAGCTAAAAATTACTCTCGGTGGAACAATTCTGTAGCCATAGCCGCTTTCCTTAGATGATCAAAACTAATTAGAGTCTATTACCGTTTCTCCGGAGCCCATAGTTTCGGTTTTGAACGAAGTCTCCGAAACGAAAGTTTGACATGAAAAGAACGAAAAAATACCGGCAAAACGAAAATATGCTGGGCAAGTTTATGTGCACCGGCTACACTTAACCGTCTCAGTTCAAATGCCTATAAAATTGGGCATTAAACAAAAGAAAATTTGTTAAATTGAATGCGCCACCCGTTCAGGCGGCCCGGCCGAGCCGACGCGACCTGGACCCAGCCGCCATGTTTGTTTGGTGGTGGCGCCCCCTATAGGTCGCTGGAGTCGCGAATACAAAAGTAACACGTGTGTCGGAAAAATCGTATCCTGTCTACTTGTGCAGAAACATGCATGTGTACTTCGGTTTTAGGACGGCGACGCGAACGTCGTTATTCCATGTGACGATATAAAGAACTTGAGCGCAGTTGGACTTACGGACTTCAACGCCAACCGTTCGTTCGACGTGTGGTGGAAGGACACCCATCTGGCTATTTTCGGACCCAAATCATGAAGATGTATGGTAAGTATCGAAGCATGAAATTTAGTCTATATATATATTAATGCCGCACGCAGGGTCACGGACTTCTAGAACTTTCTCGTTTATTCTTGCTCCGGACATAACTTCTATTGTCTATCCCTGCTAGTGTTGTTCTAGAAAGTGCGTGTTCATCCTCGCCCCGAGCGCGCTACGCCCGAACCTTCTCCGCCGAATCTTCGAGATAGTGACTCACTCTAGATAAGACGCCGCTCGCGACCTTGTCGAGTCAGTCTCGCTACAGCGCTCGATCCTGCGGTTTCGCCGACATCGACGCCCGCGACGCTCTGCTCTTATCTTCTGTTTCCTTTTTATTTCTTGGGCACAAGTTCGCCCGATTAAACGTTTTAGTTTCCTCAGTTATTCTTTGTTTCCTCTTTTGTTCCTTCGTGACATTTTGGTGGAGGTGCAGGGTACCGCATGCCCGTGCAGCGTTCCCCTCCAAAGGCCCGCAGTGCAAGTCCGATTCCAAGCCCGGTGAGGAGACCACTCCACGAGGAACCTACAACTCGGACCAGCCACCGCAACAAGGGAGAGGATCCAGAGTACGGTTTGCTGCTGGACAAGCCCAAGCCGAACAAGACGACGATGGCCAACCAGCCTCAGACCCCCGCCGCTTCTGCCGTCGTCTACCTGCCTGTCGTTCCTGGGACACCGGCTCCCTTCCACGGCGAAAGCCACGAAGACATCGATGACTGGGTCCAACAGTACGAACGAGTGGCCCGTCATAACGGGTGGACACCAGAGCACTTTCTTCAAAATGCTTACTTTGCCTTGGAAGCAACCGCCCGGAATTGGTTCGAGAACCAAGCATCGATCACCTCCTGGGAGCAACTCAAGGCTGAGTTGCGAAGAACATTCTCGAACCAACAACGAAGAGAACACGCGGAAGAGCTTCTTCAAACGAGGATCCAAGGACCTAACGAGAGCGTCGTTAGCTTCGTGGAGGATGTCCTGCGACTCAGCAACCGCGCCGATCCTCAAGCCTCCGAAGCAAAGAAGCTGAGAATCCTGATGCGAGGCGTCAAGGAAAACATCTTCGGCGGCCTTGTGCGAGCCCCGCCCATCACAGTCGAAGGATTCATCACGGAGGCAACGAACATTGAACGTGCTCTTCAAGCACGGGCCTCCCACTACCAGCGACTCCCCGGCGTCGCTGCCCACTCGACTTCCAGCTACAACAGCCCGGACCTCCGCGAGATTATCCGGGACGTCGTGCGGAAAGAAATAAGGAAGCTGCTACCTGTTGCCACAAGCCCGGCTACGCCCTCAGTCGCCGAGATTGTCCGGGAAGAACTGCAGCAGGCGCTACAGCCAGAAGTTCTCGCCAGCGCCGCTCCTGAACCACCGAAGCTGAGCTACGCCGCAGCTACCCGACGACCACCCCCTGCTCACCCGTATACGGCGCCACCTCGACGTGAACCTCCAGCGCCGCAGTATTCCCGACGCCACGAAGATCGGGCGTACGTCCGCCCAGAACCGCCACGAAAGACCGACGTGTGGAGGACGGCCGATCGACGTCCGTTGTGTTATCACTGCGGTGAAGCCGGCCACATTTACCGTCGATGCCCCTACCGACAACTGGGGCTGCGCGGGTTCCACCCGAACGACCCGCGCCCAAGGTACGACGAACGTCCTCGTGACATCGAGGAGTATCTCCGACGTTCGCCATCTTCAACGCCGCTCCGCCGTGAGTCCCGCTCACCGTCGCCCAGACGTTCAGCGTCTCCAGCGCCACGACCCCGCCGAGAGAGCCTGTCACCCTTGCGTCGCCGGGAAAACTAAGTGCGGCAACGCCTGGAGGTGGCGTTGCCGAAGACGACCGAAGTAAAGAACCTCCAAGAACGCCGGAGCGCTCCCACTGTCTCGACGCTACGCATCACAACGACGTCCCTGCGTCGGTGTCCAACAACCTACACATCATTATCGACGGCCACGACGCATCGGCACTCGTGGACACCGGAGCAGACTACTCCGTCTTGAGTGGGAGGCTCTCTCGCCGCCTGCGAAAAGTGACAACGCCGTGGGAAGGCCCTGAAATACGAACCGCCGGTGGGCACCTCATCACACCAGTCGGGCGATGCACTGCTCGCGTCGAGATCCACGGTGAGACGCGCCCTGTGAAGTTCGTCGTTCTGCAAGACTGTTCCAGGGACGTTATCCTCGGAATGGACTTCCTCTGCGAGTATGGCGCCGTCATCGACCTCGGAGCAAACCGGTTGACGCTACGAAAACCTGTTTCACCACCGGAGGAACCCATAGCGACGTCGTCTGCGGTCCGAGTCCTCGCAAGCCACGTGAACTTACCGCCGCGGTCGAGTGTTTTCGTACCCGTCGGGATCACCGAAGCTTTCTGCGGCTAAGTTCTGCTCGAAGGAAGCCTACAGTTGCTTCTTGGAAGAGGAATAGGCGTCGCAAGAGGAGTTGCTGAACTTCAGGATGGCCGCACTGTGGTCCTCGTGACGAACTTCCGAAATGAAGCGCAACACCTCACAAAAGGTGCAGCCGTGGGCCAGGTCGAGGAACTCCGAAACTCCGCCGCTATCGCCGCCATTACTGACGAATCCTCGCCACCTCAGCAAGACAATACGTCGCCAGCGCAGCTCGACATTGACCCTAAGCTTCTGGGCCTGAAACGACGACAGCTCAGTGACCTCCTCACCGAATACCGCGACTGCTTTGCCACGTCGTCAAAGGTGCGCAAACCACCGTTGCGAAGCACCGCATCGTTACCGAGGACGACGCGCGGCCTGTGCATCGGTCACCGTACAGAGTCTCTGCTAAAGAAAGGGAAGTGATCCAGGAGCAAGTTCAAGAGATGCTGAACGATGACATAATCCAACCTTCAAGCAGTCCCTGGGCCTCTCCAGTCGTACTGGTTAAGAAGAAGGACGGAACGCTTAGGTTCTGCGTGGACTACCGGTAGCTGAACGCGGTGACGAAGAAAGACGTCTATCCACTCCCCCGCATCGACGACACGTTAGACCGGCTGCGCCACTCCCGATACTTTTCATCGATGGACCTGAAGAGCGGCTACTGGCAGATAGAAGTCGACGAACGGGACCGAGAGAAGACAGCTTTCGTCACGCCGGATGGGCTGTACGAGTTCAAGGTGATGGCCTTCGGACTGTGCACGGCGCCAGCAACTTTCCAGCGTGTCATGGACACCGTACTGGCAGGACTGAAGTGGCAGAGCTGTCTCGTCTACCTCGACGACGTCGTAGTGTTTTCCAGCGACTTCGACGAGCACCTGCGACGACTACGAGCTGTTCTCCAAGCCATACGGACCGCCGGACTCACCCTCAAGCCGTCAAAGTGTCGGTTCGCCTATGACGAGCTGAAGTTCCTAGGTCACGTGGTCAGTAACGAAGGCGTTCGCCCCGACCCAGAGAAGACTCGCGCCGTCGCAGCATTTCCAGCGCCGACGGACAAGAAGGCCGTGCGAAGGTTCCTTGGGTTATGCGCCTACTATCGGCGCTTCGTTCGAGATTTCGCAAGGATTTCCGCACCGCTCACAAGCCTCACGAAGGACGCCGAGAAATTCGAATGGGCCGAGGAGCAGCAGCAGGCATTTGACGAGCTGAAGCGACGACTGCAGGCGCCTCCTGTTCTTGGACATTTCGACCAGAATGCGGAAACCGAGATTCACACGGACGCAAGTAACACAGGACTTGGCGCGGTACTGGTTCAAGTACAAGAGGGCACCGAGCGAGTCATCGCCTACGCAAGTCGGACATTGTCCAAGCCGGAGCGAAATTACTCCACGACCGAAAAAGAATGCCTTGCGGTCGTCTGGGCGATCACGAAGTTTCGTCCGTACTTATACGGAAGCCCGTTCCGCGTAGTCACGGACCACCATTCGCTCTGCTGGCTTGCGAACATCAAGGACCCGTCAGGACGCCTTGCGCGATGGAGTCTCCGACTACAAGAGTTCAACATGACCGTAGTCTACAAGTCAGGCCGCAAGCACAGCGACGCCGACTGCCTGTCCAGAGCTCCCGTCGAAACACCCTCTGACAGCAGCGACGACGATGACGACGAGTGTTTCCTGGGCGCAGTGAACAGCGACGACATGGCCCGACGTCAACGAGACGATCCTGAGCTACGAGCACTAATAGAGCACCTGGAAGGGCGTGGGAGTGCCATACCACGTGTTTTTTCACGAGCCCTGCCGACCTTCGCCATTAGACAAGGAGTTCTCTACAAAGAGAACTTCGGCAACAACAACTCCACGTGGCTGCTGGTAATCCCGACCGACCTTCGAGAGGAGATCTTCCAAGCTTGCCACGACGACCCGACGTCCGGACACCTTGGTTACAGCCGGACACTGGCCCGTATTCGTGAAAAGTATTACTGGCCCAAGCTCCCCAAAACCGTCCACCTATACACACGATCATGCCATGAATGCCAGCGACGAAAGAAACCTCCAACGAGGCCGGCCGGACGCTTGCAGTCAATTCTTCCGCCAACGGCACCCTTCCAGCAGATCGGAATGGATCTACTTGGCCCTTTTCCGCCGTCGACGTCAGGAAATCGATGGATCATCGTCGCCACAGATTATCTCACGCGGTACGCCGAAACGAAAGCCCTTCCTTTCGGAACTGCTGTGGAAGTTGCCAAGTTTTTCATTGAATCCATTGTCCTCCGGCACGGCGCTCCCGAAGTCCTGATCTCGGACCGTGGATCCTCGTTCATGGCCCAGCTGACACAAGAAGTCCTTCGTCTCAGCCACACCAGCCATCGTCGCACCACGGCGTACCACCCTCAGACCAACGGGCTGACGGAAAGACTCAACAAGACCATCGCCGACATGATTTCCATGTACGTCGACGTGGAGGACAAGACATGGGACGAGGTGTTGCCGTATGTCACCTTTGCCTACAACACGGCCGTACAAGAGACCACCGGAGTGACACCCTTTCAACTGGTGCATGGGCGCAAGGTAACAACAATGCTGGACGCTATGTTACCCCACGAACCGACTG